AAAGAATATGAAATGGCATTAATAAGCTTAGAAACATATAATATACTTAATAATATTACTGCAAACAACAATAAATTTACTTATACTATTTATGATCCAAAGACTAAAGAAACATCAACAGCTAATCGTAATATTCCAAAAGGTGTCTATGAACTTTCATCAATCAATGACTGGTTGCAAAAAGAATTAGTTGCTTCTCATTTTCCTTTGAATTCAATTACTTTTGTAGGAAGTACAATAACATTTAAAGTTACAATGGGTATTGAAACAAATTTTGCAGTTGATTTTACAATTGAAAATTCAATCAGAAATCTTTTAGGTTTTGAAAGTAAAATATATACTGCAGGTGTTTATGAATCTGTAAAAGTATTAGATATAAATCATATTAATACTATACATGTAAAAAATAGTATTATATCAGGATCTTATTTAGATAATTCACCTAGCAATATTATTTATACGTTTTACCCCTCTGTAGCTCCTGGAGCTAAACTTGTAGAAAAACCCAATGTTCCCATTTACTTACCTATATCTCTAAGAGGAGATATTCGTGATATGGAAACTTCGTTAATTGATCAAGATGAAAATCCAATTGATGTGCAAGGAGAAAGAATAACAATGAAATTTCATATAAGAGAACGAACTTCTAAATGCGAACAAGAATCTATTTTAAAAGAACAAGTATCACTTCTAAAAGAATTGATAAACATTTTAAAATATAAAAAATAGATTTAGATATCTTAAGATATCAAGATTTATGTAGATTCAAAGGAATTAAAATAAATTAAAAAAATTGTGCATATATAAAAATGACAGATTATAAAAATATTAAATTTAAAATTTCAGATTATCAAAAGAAGAAAATCAAGAAAGAACTTGAGAATGATTCAAAAAAAATTACTATAAAATTAACTTTTAAAAATCTAAGTGATAAAAATGCTAAAGATGTAGTAGCTCTAACACACAAACAATTAGAGAAAGTAATTAATGCATTTAAAAATAAAAAAGGTATAACAATTGAATTAAATGAAGAAAATCTCATGCATAATTCTAAAGTGGAAGGTGGATTTCTACCTTTACTTTTAAGTTTTTTAGCAAGTGCTGCTCCAGTAATTGCAAAAACTACTGCAACAGCATTATTAGCTGGAACAGCTGCAGCTGCTGGAAATGCTATAGTTAATAAAATTGCTGGAAAAGGTGTTTTGTATATTAAAGATAATAAAAGATCTATTAAAGCTAGAAAAGTAGGAAAAGGATTACTAATAGATGAATGGAAAAAAGGAAGGTATTTAGGAAATGGGTATTACTACTATTATGGAAAAGGAACTGGAAACAATAAACAATATAAAAAAGTAGGAAAAGGTTTAATATTAGGTGAAAATTCACCATTTAAAAATATCCCATTATTAGGTTTGATTCTTTAGTTAAATATATATTTATTAAAATATATATTTCATTTAGCATAGGTTCTGAAAGAACCAAGACTTCGTTGGATCCTTTCAGGATCTACCATTTAATACAGATAAAGGAAAATAAAAACGATCAAAACCATTTCTATATTTTCCATTTTTCACATCTGATGATAAATCAATAACAATAAATTTATGTGGTTTTGACCAAACTATTTTACAAAAGTTTTTAAACTCTTCTTTTGACATATCATTTGAAACATGGTCATTATAAATATGATTTACATTTTTTGAATCTTGTTTAAACAAGCATATAAAATTTGCATTTTCTCTTATTGTTTTCCTTGGTAGCATAAAATAATTTTGCGCTAAATAAAAACAATCTACATTACTATGCCTTCCTCTTATATAGTATTTTTCACACTTGTTTTGCTTTGTTAATTGTAAATCATCGAATATCATTAAATTATTTTTAGTAAGATCAAGATCTTCAGGTTCTGGTACATCATCTGCTGTTTCATAAAACTGACACTCCATATCTATTTTATTTTTTAAATTTTTTGAATGGACTTCAATTACAAGATCAGGGCTGATATCCATCTTATCTATTTTATCTTGTAACTTAAATATTTTAAGAATATCTTCTTTTGGTACTTTTTTTTCAAAAGAACTTTTTAATATTTTATATTCAGGTTGAAAAAGAGATTTTCCAAAAACTTGTAAATTATTATAGTCCAACCAATCAGGTCTTATAAGTAAATTTAATAATAAATTTGTTTTTCCACAACCAGACTTCCCAACTATAAGTCCTCTTATACTTCTTGGTAATAACTCATTATTATGACGATTATTTTTATTTACATTATATGATAAATCTAATACTTCCATTTTCTTATATAAATAATTTTTTTAAATTAAATAAAAATAAAGTAATAAAAAATGTATTGCGTTAAATGTAAAAACAAAACAGATACACTCAACTTACAACATGTTGTAAGTAAAAACAATAGAAATATGCTTCGTGGAAATTGTGCACTATGTGGAACAACAAAAACTCAATTTACAAAAGGAACTAAAGGTGGTGATTTAGTGGAATCTATTAATAATTTTACAAAGAATAAAAAATTACCTTTTCAAAAGTTTAAAGGTGAAATGCATTTACCAGGTATGAACTTTGCAGGACCTGGCACTAATTTAGATGAAAGATTAACTTCTACTGAAATGCCTAAAGAATGGAGCATGCCTGTAGATAAAGTTGATAAAGCAGCTTATATTCATGATCTTGCTTATAAGCATTATCCAGACAAAGAGCATAGAAATTTAGCTGATAAAATGATGCTTGAACAAATGGATACTATACCTAATCCTACACCACGTGAAAAATTGGAAAGAAAGATTATAAAACCTATCATATCTGCTAAAGTACGGTTTGGCATGGGAAATAAAGAACCAATGAGTATTAAAGAATTATGTCAAAAAAACTGCAAGCGCAGAGGAAAAAAAGCAAAAACCTGAAATGGACTGATGAACTTGCAAATGAACTTCATAAACCTGTTATAAAACATTTTAGAAAAAGAAAAGTAATTGCAAATGGAATAGATGAAATATGGGCTGCTGATTTAGTTGACATGCAAGCTTATTCTAAATTTAATAATGGTATAAAATACTTATTAATGGTCATTGATATATTTTCAAAGTATGGATGGATAATTCCATTGAAAAGTAAGACAGGAATTGAAGTTGCTAATGCATTGAATAAAATCTTTAAAATTAGGAAATGCGATAAATTATGGGTTGATAAAGGTTTGGAATTTTATAACAAACATGTTAAAGCATTAGGTGTGCAGCTCTATTCAACTGAAAATGAAGAAAAAAGTTGCGTTGTTGAACGATGGAATAGAACAATGAAAGAAAAAATGTTCAAATACTTTTCAGCTAATTCTACTAGAAAATACATTGATGTTTTAAATGAAATGGTATATCAATACAACAACACAAAGCATTCTTCAATTAAAATGACACCTTCTGAAGCAAGCGATAAAAAGAATGAAAATAAAATTTGGTTTAATCTAAATGGTAAAGTGATATCTAATCCTATCAAACCCAAGTTTTCAATAGGTGATAAAGTGAGAATAACTAAAAAGAAAGGAGCGTTTGAAAAAGGGTACACACCAAGATGGACTGAAGAAGTATTCATAGTATCACAAGTTCAGTACACAGATCCACCTACTTATAAAATAACTGATTACAATGGTGAAGAAATACAAGGTACTTTTTATGAACAAGAACTTCAAAAAACGAATCAAGAGATATTTAGAATTGAAAAGGTTATTCGTAAACAAGGTAATAAATCATTTGTAAAGTGGTATGGGTATCCTAATACTTTTAACTCATGGGTTGATAATACAGAATTGAAAAGTTTATAAATAATTATCTTAAATATATAAAAAATGCAAAACTCTAATGTAAATGTGAATATATGCGTATCAGCTACTTCTGGAAATGCTAATACAAATACTACTGTAACAGCTTCTTCATATTCTACAGCATCTACAAGCAAATAAAAAATCTAGCGCATGCGCACTGAGCAGAGCATAAGATCAATCTGAATATCACGTGACGTCATGCAATAATTTTTCGTAACATTTCATAACAAGAAATAAAAATTAACACTTATTTTAAAAAATCAATTTTTTTAAAATAAAAAAATATTTCTTGTTGAAATAATTTATACACAATATGGTTAACATTGAACCCTATATTAATATTAATTTATGGTTGAAAATAAGGTTGAAAATGAAAAATCCCTCTGATCTCTCCTTTTTCCTACTACTGATATTAAATTTTATTCTTCTTTCTATCGACATACGTTACAACTTTTTGTTATTATGCTTTAATCCTTTATATATATATATATATATATATATATATATATATATATATATATATATATATATATATATATATATATATATATATATATATATATATATATATATATATATATATATATATATACATACATATATATATATATATATATATATATATATATATATATATATATATATATATATATATATATATATATATATATATATTTGTGCAAAAGAGCAATGGTTTTTTGAGTTTGTAATTTTATTTTTGAAAAAAAGAAAAAAAAGGAACATATTGTAAAGACAATATACAGTTATAAAACAAATATAGCAATAGTTTTTTGAATTAGCATATTTATTTTCGATGTTTATTTTCGAGTGGTCATTATTTTCGACCGGTATTTGCATACAAATTTATATCTCTTATTACTTTATTTTTTAATCGTAATTTTAACTTAATTGTAACGGTTTTAACCACTGAACAGTCATGCCGAAGGCCTAAAGATTTTAAAAGAAAAAAACTAAGAAATAATCAAAAGCAGTAGCATCACCTTAACAGATCAACAATAACAATAACAATATATATTCTGAAATAAAAGTTTACATTTCATGGTTGTTTACTAATAGTACGAGTACTAATCTAAAGTAAACACTAGGGATGTACCGAAGCTTCGGCTTCGGCTTCGGTTTGCCGAAGCTTCGGCAATTTTGCCGAAGCTTCGGTTCGGCCAAAGCCATGGGCGTTTTTTGCCGAATCATTGGTTTCGGCAAAAAAATGGACATTACTAAGCTGGCATTCGACTGAGGAAGACATTTTTTAAACGTTCACACGTTGTCTGTTTTCCGAATAAAACGTAGTTGAACGTTCAAAATTCTTCTTTTTCTTTTCTTCTTCTGAGAAATTTAAATAAGCCTCTGATCTATACAGTTGTGAAGATTAAATGAATCCAGCAACGGCTTTTGGAGGTGGCAAGGCCGTGTGTAGGGCGGCCAAAAACGGCACGATAGCGGATAGAAAGTAAAGTTACTTAATGAAACACATTGATTTTTTTATAATCACTCAATATAAGCTGATTTAAACTGTAACATTATAGTAAACTTTATATAATTAAATACCATAACCCTAATATTTAGTTATGATCACTCGAGCTTAGCAATAAAATTTATTTATGCATTAGTTGGTAGTAAAATAATGAAAAATTATTAAAATTTAATTTTTTTAGCATTTAGTTATTAGTTAGCATCAACTTCTAAAATCCGAGTTATGTTAAATTATATATTTTTTAATATTAAATTAAAATTAAAAATTAAACCTGGAAATAAATCTTCATTTAAAATTACTTAGATGTAACTAAAACATAGCGCACGAGAGTTAAGAGAGTTAACTATTCTCGAAATTTTTAAAAATCTATACAATAAGTTAATTTTAACGCACGAAACAATTTTTATTCAGAAAGTTTGTTTTACTAAGTCACAGACAGAACACAGAAAGACACTACACAGAAAGACACTACACAGAAAAGACACTACACAGAAAAGACACTACACAGAAAAGCACAATTGAAATGTAAGTCAATTGCGTTTGTTTTTGATTTTGTACGCTGGATCATTAGTAAAAGTAAATATACCTGCTCTACAAATATAGGTTAATTGGTTATTTACGACTTCAATATTTTTTAATTCAAATAATATTTGAATCAAAAAATTGAACGAATATTGTTTATTTCAATAAATATTATTAAAGGTAAGAAAATAATTAAACTTTCTATTTCAATTTTCAGAATTGTTATTATAACTTTAAGTTATCCATTAGCGCATTATGGCTACCTCATCGCGAAGTAAAAATCCCTTATGGAATTATTTTAAAGTGAGTGATGAAGATGTTGGCAAAGCCATCTGCATACTTTGCAAGAAGATTTTGTCTAGAGGAAGTAAAGACGCACACAACATGTCAACAACAAATTTACAAAACCATCTGAAAAAAGTATATTACAATATACATAGCATGATTCTTTCTCAGAAGAAAATTATTAACCACGAATCTTTACCAAATCCAAATGAAAAGTCTATAAAACAATTTTGCACTACTCGAACAATATGCTCAGATAGAACAAGCTCTGCTGAATCAGTGCAAATCATTACCAGCACTGCCACAGATGAAACGCAGGGAAGCTCGCGTGTGTCTAATAACACAATTGCCTTTTTTCAAAAAGCATCGACACAGGTAACTCAGCTAACTGTAGCTGAATTCATTTACTATTCAGTATTTATGATTTTGTGACTGGATATGGGCATGTCTTGTCAAAAAATTATCTTTTGTATAGAAAAATGTTAACTTAACTTATCTAAGCTTATAATATTATAACAAATGTTCTGGTGAGGGGGGAGAGATACATACCTCTATCCGCCACTTAGATCCGTCGCTGGCCATTGTTAGTTACAAGTTGCTAAGTAATTTTTTTAATTCGTTGAATTTGTTTCAGGTCTCACTGCGGGAGATTTTGCAAAGAAAAGAATTGTGGCAACTTGATAATCCTAAGGCTCAAGCTATTACCAAGCTTATTGGAGAAATGATATGTTTAGACTTGCAGCCATACTGTATTGTTGAAGATAAAGGTTTTACCTGACTTTTAAAGAATTTAGCTCCAAACTATACAATACCTAGTCGAAAGTATTTCTTCACAAAAGTCATTCCACTGATGTATGAAACCATAAAAGCCAAAGTAAAATATGAGCTTGATCAAGCAGATTTCTTAAGTTTAACTAGTGATGGTTGGACCTGTCAGCACACAATTCAATCGTATTACAGTTTAACAGCTAGATTTGTAACGCATGAGTTTACAGTTAAACATGTCATCTTACAAGTTACACACTTCCCTGAGTCGCACACAGGGCACAATATAAGTAAATTCATAAATGAAGCGCTACAATCATGGGAAATTCCCCATGAAAAAATTCATGCAGTTTTAACTGATAATGCAGCCAATGTAATGGCTGCCATTAAAGAGTCAAATTTAGGCGATAAACATCTTCCATGTCTGATACATACTTTACAACTTTGTATTCAGAAAAAGATTTTTAGAGAACAAAGAACAGCAAGTGATACAATAGCTGTTTTTCGAGCATTAGCAGGACATTTCCACCACTCATCTAGTGCTGTGGCTAAACTAAAGGAAATTCAAAGTCAACTAAAATTGCCATAGATAACATAATTCAAGATGTTTCCACAAGATGGAATTCGACATACTATATGCTTGAAAGGTTCATTGAGCAGAAAAAAGCTATTACATTGTATTGCATTACCAAAAATCAAACAAATGCAAAAAATCCTACGGAAAATCAATGGCAACTTGCTGAAATGCTTGTATGCATATTAAAACACTTCGAAAGTACTACAAAAGACATGAGTAAAGAAACTGCATGTATATCAGAGATTATACCATTTATCTATGCAATGGAAAAGTTTCTAGACTACGCTTGTGACACGGCAACTGAAATAAAAACTGTTGTTGATGAACTTAAGAAAGATTTTAACTGTCGTTTTCAAAAATACAAGGATAATGTTGATTTAAAAATCGCGATGATGCTTGATCCTCGTTTCAAGTTAAAGTTTGTTGAAGACAAAAATCATAATATGTTTAAAGAAATACTCCATTTAGAGTTCTACCGTTTTTGTTCCAAATCTCATTTAGAACAAGTAAAAGAAATTGAATTTGGTGTAGCAAGAGGTAGTGGATCAGACTCAGAAGAATCATTAAGTTCATTTTCAGAATCTAAAATTCATGAGTCCAACTCAGATTTTGATGGCCATGGCTCTCCATTAAAAAAAAAACAACTAATGAGCATGAACATATATAGCTTGTTCCACCAAATCGGTGCAAATGAGTATGCTCTACAAAATTCAGAAAATTCTGACGGACGGAGAAAAAAGAAAAAAAACACTAGTTCAATGGGAAAAACTCTAACTGTCAAAGAAAAATGGTAAGAAAACAGAATCTATTTATGATTTTTATATTGTTTATACATTAAATATTAAATATTTTTTTTATCTCTATTCTCATTCTCCATTTTTTTTATTTCAAAAGACGGATAACAGCATTCTTTTATTTTGTTTAGTTGATTGAATTGTAATATTTTAAAAATTTAAACCTAAAATTATCACCTATATTTTATGTATCAGCACCGATGAAGTCAACTTCTACTTGAGCCTTCCAATACTGCCAAAGAATGAATGCCCTTATAAGTGGTGGAGTGCATACCGTTACACTTCCTCTGATAAAGATACTTACAAGTTGAATTTGTCAAAGTTTTCAAAGAAAGTTTTGTGCGCGCCTCCTTCATTTGTAAAAAGTGAACGCTTATTTAGCACATCTGGAAACATATTTGAAGCAAAAAGAAACAGACTATTACCCGAACATGGAGAACAGATTGCATTTTTAAATTGTAATATGCCTGCTTTCATTGAACAAATTTTTATTAACTAAATAATAGACTGTAGTTTCTTAGTTCAACTGATTCAACTTTTTAACAAAATTTAAAACAAATACCAAATTTTGTGTTCAAATTAAAATAATGACTACTTTTATATTTTTACATTTTACGTGTTTACATTTTTATAAATTCTTTCAAAGAATAGATCATAATTTACCTTAAGTATCAGTAAATGTTTAAGATTTAGTGATGTAATCTTTCCTATACCTGCTAGATATATAGAATTAAGACTCTAAATTTCACTCTCTAAATTTTTGTACAAAATTTGTTTAAATTTTTTATAATATTGGTTTTGTTTTATAATTTTCCTAAAATGGGCATGTAGGCCAAAACATTGAAACCTAAAACATTGATATATAATTTTGAAAGCAACTTGATTATTCAAACCACCGTGGTGAAGTAAATTGAGCTTTAAATTACGTATAACTTAAGCCGAAGCTTCGGCTTCGGCAAAGTGGCTTCGGCCGAAGCTTCGGCTTCGGCAAAATTGCAGCTTCGGTACATCCCTACTTTCTAATACTCCGATAAAATTTTCATTCACTTCATAGTTGTCACTGCAAGTTCTTATATTAAACAAAATTTGTTTCTTTTTAGTAATATCTGAGGATTCATCTGCAAATACCGAATAGAAATCTTTATTTTTAATCAGTTAAACAACGTTCGTGTCTCTAACGTAAGAATTTCCTCTTGTTCTTGCAAGATGAGATAAAACATAATAAAAATAAAACATAATGGTTTTCAATCATTGACATTTCTAATGCCTTATCACTTTTACTTTTTTACCTTATCCAAATTAAACTGGTTTATATTGGATTCTTCATCGTTATTACCTCTTATAGCTACAGGGTGTAGCTATAAGAGTTGATAATGGTGAAGAAACCAATATTTGTCGAAGCAATGTTTTCAATGTTTCGAAATGAGCTAGCAAGTCTTTTCTTCGAACTGCCTGTTTCTCTATGTACATTCAGTCAATTTGTGCATTAATTGTTGTAAACTTTATATTTTCTTTCTAAATCTTTAGAACATTTGAAGCCTTATGGAGTCCTCGTGATCTTTTAGTGCTGCTGCAAATTTGTTCCATGTTCTAAATCCTTTCCCGACTCCATGCTTGAACACTCCACCAGAACATAAATCATATTTTGTGCAGGTTTCACAAATGATAGCTTTCAACAATCAATCATAAAATAACCAACTTAACTCATTAAATCAGCCTTAATATAAGTCTTCCATTTCTGTTTTTTTTTTTTATCAACTTCACTGAAATCCTCCGCTTTTCTAACAAGATTTTCCATTGGAATTTCACCATCTTTTTTATCGGACTCCTATTTTTCCTGTCTTTCCAACTTTATCCTGATTTTCTAGTTCACCGTGAGGGTTCTCTAGCTTCATCTGTTCAGATGTTGTTGTTTTTTTCAACAAAGTAGTAATTTTGATATGATAGCTTCGCAAATGGCGGTCGCGTTTTTTTAACCGTTAAAAAAGCTAAAGTGAAAATAAAGAATAAAGTTAAACTGAAATTAAAAGATAAATATTGTTTTTAAAAAAAGTCGCCTTTAAATCATAATCACCAATAAATCATAATCAAGTCAATAATCTTATAAATTAATTTAAAACAAACAATTAAATTCAAAGAAAAATTTTACAAAAAGATAAATAGAATTTCGAACTAAAAAAAAAAAAAGAACAATTCCGTAAAACAACAAAAAGAACAAAAAAAGAAAGAAAAAATAAAGAAAGAAAGAAAAAAGTTAACCAATAAAAAAAAACAAAAGAAGAAAAGAAGAAGGAAAAATAAATAAAATTACAAACAAAGTAAAAGAAGATTGGTTGTTTTATACTTATTTTTTAACGGTTTAATTTGTAATGAAATATTATAATTTTTTGTGTTTCTAATTTTATTATTATTAATTTTCTTGATTTATATTATAATTTTTTAAATAATATTCTTTTATTATATTATTATTTTTCTTGTATTATATTATTTTTCGTTAATATAATTAATAATTTATTGTTCGATGTTTCTTTTTTAGTTGTTGTATCTTTTAATGTTATTTATTTATTATACATATATTATCTGCTATTATATTATTTATTACTAAATTAACTATTAAAAATTCTTAATACTATATATCTCTTTATAATAATACTGGACTTAATAGTAGTAGTAGTAGTGCGCTTTCGAGCCTGTTTGACACGATACTCTTGGCAACCATTGCATCCGAGGTAGTGAGGAGAAAGAGTCTTACCTTTGCTTTATAAGAAAACGCGAGCAAACGTGAAACTCATATTGTACGTACATAAACTTCATGTTATGTAATGTTAAAACATGCTTAAACATATATCAAGTTCAACAGTTTGATTTTCACTTAAGAACTGCATTTCGTCAACCTTTGCTTAACTTCTAATCTTTTGTGTTTTTATCCGTTAAAAAACAATTTTTATATAATTTTGAATCTTTATTTCTTAATGCACAGCTGCCGTGGTTCGAGTCATACCGTTGGCGACTACTGTTTTAATTTTTTTTTTAGATTTTTTTAAATACAAATTCAAATACTTATAAAGTTTTATAGATATTGTATATAGACAACATATGTAAAGATATTAATCAAAAGTTTGATCCTCGCATTTTAACACAGAACCAACTTCGCTAACGAGAGAAAAAAAATCGTTCACAAATTTCAAAATTTTGTTTTTTCGTTGCAAGAAGTGTCTCGCAAATGCCATTTATGTTTAAGTTTATGTTTACGCAATCAATAAGTTTAATCTTCGTATCTAGGACATTAAAAGTTATCATTTAGATGTTTTCATTTGATTGAGATTTTCTTGCGTTATAAACCGGATAATAGTTCTTATGAACTGTAACCACGCGGATAAAGTGTGCATCAATATCCTAAAGACCCGTATTTTACGGGTCATGACAGATAGTTTTTTATGATTACTAGTTAATTATTTTATTCTTTATTTTTAAATTATACTATATTTATTTATTATTGATTTATCCCATACTTTATATATTATTGCTTTGTTTTTAACTCATATTTTTACATGGTCATTAAGTACCATCGTAAGTTCTGCTATAAAGCAGTGGCCAATCATCAAAGAGGCATTTTATCTGATTGTTGTTCTTCTTGGGTTAATGCTAAGTGCAATTCAATCAAAAGTTTTTCGTACAACCTTCTTGTCAAAGACTCTTCTGACTGGTATTGTAGTGACTGCATAATTAAGAATATGCCATGTAGCACACTTTCGGACTTGGAATTTTCTTTAACTATATCATATCAGACTCTATCAACTAGTACCTTAAATTCTTTAGAAAGTCCATTACAATTCAAAAACTTTTTAAAGGATATAAATAAAATTTCTAACTGCAAATACTACGATACTCTTGATCTCAATAAAACTTTAAATTCAAATTCTGAATTGTACCTTGATCTAAACATTGGTTCTTTTCATTTTCTTATTAATGAACTTCGCAGTCTCATAAGTTCACTTACCATTTTTCCAACAGTATTTGGAACTTCGGAATCTAAAATATACATTAACGATCCCAATTTAACTGACATTACTATAAATGGTTATAACATTGAACAATGCTCTACTGAAGCTAAAAAAGGAGGTGCTCTTCTATACTTACAATCTAATCTAAACTACAATGTCAGAAGAGATCTTATAGTATATGCCCCAAAATACCTAGAATCTATCTTTATTGAAATCATCAATCATTTTTTGAAAAATTTCATTGTTGGCTGCATATACCGGCATCCTTCAATGAACACAAAGAAATTTATTTCTGATTATTTTAATCCTTTACTTGAAAAACTTAGTTCTGAAAATAAACAGGTTATGTTAATGGGTGAATTTAACATGGACTTACTAAACTACAATGAATCTCTTATTATCGCTGATTACCTTGACTCACTTTGTTCTTATTCTTTTTACCCAACAATAGTTCAACCAACGCGAGTAACCTGTAAATCTAAAACAATTATTGATCACATCTTTCTAAATTTTCGATTTCCTAATCTTATTACTGGTAACGTAACAATATCAATTTCAGATCACATTGCACAGTTTGTTTTCATTCCTAGTACTCCTTTCAAAAGAAAAAAATCCATAACAACTAACATCTCTTTCTTTAACAAAAACCTCAACAATACAAAAAATACATGGAAAGAAATAAAAGGAATTATTAACATCAAACCCTCAACACCAATTAAATCTTACACTCTCAAGTCTAATGGTAACACTATCTCAGACAGTATGGCTATTGCTAACATTTTTAACAAATACTATGAAACAATACAACACCCACCCAAAAGTAAAATGATTTCTTTTAAAAGTATCTTTTCTGACAATTTAAAAGATGCTTATTCGAATTCTTACTTTCTTAATCCAGTGATTGAAAATGAGGTGTCTGATTTAATAAAAAATAGATTACAAAATGGTAAAAGTTTAGGACCAAATAGTATTCCTACACACCTTCTTAAACTTACTTCTCATGTTATTTGCAAGCCTCTCTGTACCATATCGAATAATTCTTTTAATAAAGGTCTTTTTCCAGATGTTTTTAAAATAGCCAAAGTTATTCCTATCCATAAAAAAAGTTCTCTAATGGACCACAGAAATTATCGACCAATTTCTCTTCTATCTAACATTAGTTTAACATTAGTAATATTTGAAAAAGCCATGTACAACAGACTTTATAGCTTTTTTGACAAAAAAATCAATATGGTTTTCGTAACAAACACTCCATAACTCATGTACTTATTAAAATAATTGAAACTATTAGAAATGCTCTTGACCATAAACTTTTTGCATGTGGAGTGTTTTTTGACTTAGACAAAGCCTTTTATTCTGTTGACCACTCTATCCTCTTAAGTAAATTAGAACACTACGGTGTTCGAGGTAATACTCTGCAATGGTTTTCATCATATCTTTTTAATAGATTGCATTTTAATAGATTTGTCTCCATCAATGATGCCAAACCTTTTCCAATAAAATGCTCCACGGATGTACCCCAAGCTTTTGTATTAGAATCATTGTTTTTCCTTATTTTTATTAATGATCTTAATACTTCTCTAAAATTTTCAATGGTTTACCATTTTGCTGATGACACCAACTTACTCATAACAAACAAATCATTAAAAAAATCTAACCTTCTTTAATGGCAGCGCTCTAACAAACTAAGCCTTAATACAAACAAAAATAAACTCATTATTTTCAAATCAAATCAATCTAAAATGTATAAAAACCTAAACTTTAGACTAAGTGGATAAAAAATCTTTCCCGTAGTTTCATTTAAATATCTTGGAATCCAAATTGACTCAGATCTATCTTTTTCCTCTCATCTTAAAAACTTAGGAGTAAAATTGTGTAGACCAAATGGGATGCTAGCCAAAGTTCGCCACTATGTCAATTATAAAACTCTACTTGCAATTTTTGGATCACATCTTAGATACGTTTGTCAGGTTTGGGGACAATGCAAGTCTAATGCTTGTTTAAGGTTATGTAACCTACAAAACAAAACTTTAAAAATAATATTCTTTCAATAGTATCATTCTAACACTAAAATCCATTACTTTCTATCGAAAATACTCAAATTATGTGATCTTGTTTATTTATTAAATTGTCTATTTGTCTGGAATCATAAACAAGTAAACCTCCCTCCGTCATTCTCCAATTTTTTTACCACTAAAAAAAGTTCTCGTTATTACCTTCGATCTTTGAGTAACTTTAAATTATCTATCCCAAATCGCTGTTCGGTAAAATACGGTGATAATTCAATTATTATATATGTATATATATATATATATATATATATATATATATATATATATATATATATATATATATATATATATATATATATATATATATATATATATATATATATATATATATATATATATATATATATATATATATATATATATATATATATATATATATATATAAATATTACAAACCAATGCGTAAAATCGTGGAGTAATTTACCTTTTCATTTTCAATCCCTCAACTCTTTTTCACAATTTAAAACCCGTCTTTTTGACTTTTTGATAGAAAAATACTCTAATTAAAATCTTAGGCTTATAATAGATTATTATTACTATTGTTATTAGTATTATTGTTATGTTAATATTACTTACTTTTTATTTACATTTTTATTACCGTCATTATTGCTTATTAAAATTGTTTAATATATAAATGTGATATTTGTTAATATTATAATTTTTGTTATTATTATTGTTAATTTTATTGTTATTATTGATATTATTATTGCTATTATTATTGTTGTTGTTATTTTACTGTTATTATTAATATTATTATTGTTGTTATTATTGCTATTGTTATTATTGCTATTATTATTGTTGTTGTTATTATAATTACTAATATATTCATTATTATTGTCATTATTATATTTAATAGTATTATTGATATTATTATAATCGTCTTCATTAAATTTATATTATTATTATTATTATATGATTGCTATTACTATTTAATTGGTGTTTACTAGGGATGTACCGAAGCTGCAATTTTGCCGAAGCCGAAGCTTCGGCCGAAGCCACTTTGCCGAAGCCGAAGCTTCGGCTTAAGTTATACGTAATTTAAAGCTCAATTTACTTCACCACGGTGGTTTGAATAATCAAGTTGCTTTCAAAATTATATATCAATGTTTTAGGTTTCAATGTTTTGGCCTACATGCCCATTTTAGGAAAATTATAAAACAAAACCAATATTATAAAAAATTTAAACAAATTTTGTACAAAAATTTAGAGAGTGAAATTTAGAGTCTTAATTCTATATATCTAGCAGGTATAGGAAAGATTACATCACTAAATCTTAAACATTTACTGATACTTAAGGTAAATTATGATCTATTCTTTGAAAGAATTTATAAAAATGTAAACACGTAAAATGTAAAAATATAAAAGTAGTCATTATTTTAATTTGAACACAAAATTTGGTATTTGTTTTAAATTTTGTTAAAAAGTTGAATCAGTTGAACTAAGAAACTACAGTCTATTATTTAGTTAATAAAAATTTGTTCAATGAAAGCAGGCATATTACAATTTAAAAATGCAATCTGTTCTCCATGTTCGGGTAATAGTCTGTTTCTTTTTGCTTCAAATATGTTTCCAGATGTGCTAAATAAGCGTTCACTTTTTACAAATGAAGGAGGCGCGCACAAAACTTTCTTTGAAAACTTTGACAAATTCAACTTGTAAGTATCTTTATCAGAGGAAGTGTAACGGTATGCACTCCACCACTTATAAGGGCATTCATTCTTTGGCAGTATTGGAAGGCTCAAGTAGAAGTTGACTTCATCGGTGCTGATACATAAAATATAGGTGATAATTTTAGGTTTAAATTTTTAAAATATTACAATTCAATCAACTAAACAAAATAAAAGAATGCTGTTATCCGTCTTTTGAAATAAAAAAAATGGAGAATGAGAATAGAGATAAAAAAAATATTTAATATTTAATGTATAAACAATATAAAAATCATAAATAGATTCTGTTTTCTTACCATTTTTCTTTGACAGTTAGAGTTTTTCCCATTGAACTAGTGTTTTTTTTCTTTTTTCTCCGTCCGTCAGAATTTTCTGAATTTTGTAGAGCATACTCATTTGCACCGATTTGGTGGAACAAGCTATATATGTTCATGCTCATTAGTTGTTTTTTTTTTAATGGAGAGCCATGGCCATCAAAATCTGAGTTGGACTCATGAATTTTAGATTCTGAAAATGAACTTAATGATTCTTCTGAGTCTGATCCACTACCTCTTGCTACACCAAATTCAATTTCTTTTACTTGTTCTAAATGAGATTTGGAACAAAAACGGTAGAACTCTAAATGGAGTATTTCTTTAAACATATTATGATTTTTGTCTTCAACAAACTTTAACTTGAAACGAGGATCAAGCATCATCGCGATTTTTAAATCAACATTATCCTTGTATTTTTGAAAACGACAGTTAAAATCTTTCTTAAGTTCATCAACAACAGTTTTTATTTCAGTTGCCGTGTCACAAGCGTAGTCTAGAAACTTTTCCATTGCATAGATAAATGGTATAATCTCTGATATACATGCAGTTTCTTTACTCATGTCTTTTGTAGTACTTTCGAAGTGTTTTAATATGCATACAAGCATTTCAGCAAGTTGCCATTGATTTTCCGTAGGATTTTTTGCATTTGTTTGATTTTTGGTAATGCAATACAATGTAATAGCTTTTTTCTGCTCAATGAACCTTTCAAGCATATAGTATGTCGAATTCCATCTTGTGGAAACATCTTGAATTATGTTATCTATGGCAATTTTAGTTGACTTTGAATTTCCTTTAGTTTAGCCACAGCACTAGATGAGTGGTGGAAATGTCCTGCTAATGCTCGAAAAACAGCTATTGTATCACTTGCTGTTCTTTGTTCTCTAAAAATCTTTTTCTGAATACAAAGTTGTAAAGTATGTATCAGACATGGAAGATGTTTATCGCCTAAATTTGACTCTTTAATGGCAGCCATTACATTGGCTGCATTATCAGTTAAAACTGCATGAATTTTTTCATGGGGAATTTCCCATGATTGTAGCGCTTCATTTATGAATTTACTTATATTGTGCCCTGTGTGCGACTCAGGGAAGTGTGTAACTTGTAAGATGACATGTTTAACTGTAAACTCATGCGTTACAAATCTAGCTGTTAAACTGTAATACGATTGAATTGTGTGCTGACAGGTCCAACCATCACTAGTTAAACTTAAGAAATCTGCTTGATCAAGCTCATATTTTACTTTGGCTTTTATGGTTTCATACATCAGTGGAATGACTTTTGTGAAGAAATACTTTCGACTAGGTATTGTATAGTTTGGAGCTAAATTCTTTAAAAGTCAGGTAAAACCTTTATCTTCAACAATACAGTATGGCTGCAAGTCTAAACATATCATTTCTCCAATAAGCTTGGTAATAGCTTGAGCCTTAGGATTATCAAGTTGCCACAATTCTTTTCTTTGCAAAATCTCCCGCAGTGAGACCTGAAACAAATTCAACGAATTAAAAAAATTACTTAGCAACTTGTAACTAACAATGGCCAGCGACGGATCTAAGTGGCGGATAGAGGTATGTATCTCTCCCCCCTCACCAGAACATTTGTTATAATATTATAAGCTTAGATAAGTTAAGTTAACATTTTTCTATACAAAAGATAATTTTTTGACAAGACATGCCCATATCCAGTCACAAAATCATAAATACTGAATAGTAAATGAATTCAGCTACAGTTAGCTGAGTTACCTGTGTCGATGCTTTTTGAAAAAAGGCAATTGTGTTATTAGACACACGCGAGCTTCCCTGCGTTTCATCTGTGGCAGTGCTGGTAATGATTTGCACTGATTCAGCAGAGCTTGTTCTATCTGAGCATATTGTTCGAGTAGTGCAAAATTGTTTTATAGACTTTTCATTTGGATTTGGTAAAGATTCGTGGTTAATAATTTTCTTCTGAGAAAGAATCATGCTATGTATATTGTAATATACTTTTTTCAGATGGTTTTGTAAATTTGTTGTTGACATGTTGTGTGCGTCTTTACTTCCTCTAGACAAAATCTTCTTGCAAAGTATGCAGATGGCTTTGCCAACATCTTCATCACTCACTTTAAAATAATTCCATAAGGGATTTTTACTTCGCGATGAGGTAGCCATAATGCGCTAATGGATAACTTAAAGTTATAATAACAATTCTGAAAATTGAAATAGAAAGTTTAATTATTTTCTTACCTTTAATAATATTTATTGAAATAAACAATATTCGTTCAATTTTTTGATTCAAATATTATTTGAATTAAAAAATATTGAAGTCGTAAATAACCAATTAACCTATATTTGTAGAGCAGGTATATTTACTTTTACTAATGATCCAGCGTACAAAATCAAAAACAAACGCAATTGACTTACATTTCAATTGTGCTTTTCTGTGTAGTGTCTTTTCTGTGTAGTGTCTTTTCTGTGTAGTGTCTTTCTGTGTAGTGTCTTTCTGTGTTCTGTCTGTGACTTAGTAAAACAAACTTTCTGAATAAAAATTGTTTCGTGCGTTAAAATTAACTTATTGTATAGATTTTTAAAAATTTCGAGAATAGTTAACTCTCTTAACTCTCGTGCGCTATGTTTTAGTTACATCTAAGTAATTTTAAATGAAGATTTATTTCCAGGTTTAATTTTTAATTTTAATTTAATATTAAAAAATATATAATTTAACATAACTCGGATTTTAGAAGTTGATGCTAACTAATAACTAAATGCTAAAAAAATTAAATTTTAATAATTTTTCATTATTTTACTACCAACTAATGCATAAATAAATTTTATTGCTAAGCTCGAGTGATCATAACTAAATATTAGGGTTATGGTATTTAATTATATAAAGTTTACTATAATGTTACAGTTTAAATCAGCTTATATTGAGTGATTATAAAAAAATCAATGTGTTTCATTAAGTAACTTTACTTTCTATCCGCTATCGTGCCGTTTTTGGCCGCCCTACACACGGCCTTGCCACCTCCAAAAGCCGTTGCTGGATTCATTTAATCTTCACAACTGTATAGATCAGAGGCTTATTTAAATTTCTCAGAAGAAGAAAAGAAAAAGAAGAATTTTGAACGTTCAACTACGTTTTATTCGGAAAACAGACAACGTGTGAACGTTTAAAAAATGTCTTCCTCAGTCGAATGCCAGCTTAGTAATGTCCATTTTTTTGCCGAAACCAATGATTCGGCAAAAAACGCCCATGGCTTTGGCCGAACCGAAGCTTCGGCAAAATTGCCGAAGCCGAAGCTTTGGTACATCACTATTTGAAAGCGTTAACGGTCTTCCTTCAGATTTCTTCGTTACATATATTAAAGATATCCTTTTGAGATGCAATTTTCAATATAAAAATGTTGCCGGAATTGGCTTTGATGAAGCGTCAATTATGAAATGCTTGGCAGCAAAACTGAAAAATATTTTTGGACAGGAAGCACAATATTTTCATTGCATGGCACATTGCAGCGAGCTGATTGTTAAGGATAGAAATGCAAATCATCACTACTCTCAGATTCTCTCAGCATTGTCCAGTCAATTTATGCAATTGTTGGGGCATATCCAAAGCGTGTTCCTTTTTTCGAACAAATTCAAAAGGATATATTGTATGAATCTGAATCAGATGAATACAGAACATTACGACTGAAGTCTATGTCAATGACTCAATGGACAGCATGAATAAAAGCAGTACAAGTGGTGTTGGAGAAGATTGCAGAACTTTGTACAATATTGAACAGTCTTCAGAACGACAAGACTATTTCTTTAGAAACAAGAGCACAAATTAAAGGTTTTTTATCTCAGCTTTCATCAGTAAAAACACTTTTTGAACTGCGAAGCACTTTTGGATTTTTTTGCTAGAGAATCTATCAAAGCAGTTACAAGAAAATAATCTGACAGGTGATATCGCGGTATTCTGCATTCGAAATGCGTTTCAGAGATTTGCAGAGCTTAGATCAGATAAGGAATTTAATAGAATTTTAAAGTCGACAAAAAAAAATACCTGGAATCAAGCAAGACAATGAGTCTGAAACCAGTTACGCAGAGATTAAAAGTAATACCTAAAACATTACGCGATTCAGTAATTACTGAGAAGCTTACATTGGGCGGTGCAATGACTGGTCCTGTCGAATCAGAGCAAAAACAAAGCATAAACAAATCTTATTTTAAAGCAATTGATGCTATTCAGAACAGTTTGAGTTAGAGATTTGAAAAGGATGGATAAACAGCTGTAAAAAATATAAAAGAAGTTTTGATTTCATTAGTGAATAAGCAAGATCTATGCAATATTTGTTAGATAACTTTGAATACAAGTAAAGTAGTGAACTTTTAAATTCACTTAGAAAAGTAAGACTTGTATGCCGATAATTTTTGATATTTTTGCACTTCTTGTTTTTATATGGGTTTTGCAAGAATTCTTTTTGTCAAAAATTATTCAAAGACATTTTAAATTTTTATTTTAAATATTTGTTTTTGTCTTGTAAAAATTTTGTTAACACGGATGCAAGCACTAAGTAAACAAAATGATATAAATTAAAGAAGAAATTTTATGACGCAATCATAGGATTTGGCTATAAATCGCAGAAAAGCACCGCTTTTAAAGAGTTTTAAATCAAATCACGGTACAATAATAGTTTTTTGTTGCTTAATAGTAATTTGAAGTTTAAATCTGTTTGACTTTTAAAAAGAAAAGAATTGACTTTTGAAAAGAAAATATCAGACCAAGCAATCATGCTTTATATTGTATAATCCTTTGTTAAACGGCAAACTTTAAACAAAAAACTTAAATAAACTCATAACAGTTTCAGGTGAACCCAATTGAATTCCAATGAAAGAATTGCAATGATATCCAGATGAAAAACCCAGATGGTTGCCAATAGTATGTCCAGTTGGGTCCCAGCTAGGGCGTGAGGAGTTTCTTTTCTTAATTACTTTCACGTGGGAAAAAAAAACTTATTGCTTTGGAGATCCTCAAGTAAATACAATGAATGATTCGATTAAATTTATTAGATTTGTAATATTTACTTGGTTCTTGAAAGAAAAAATTGTGGCTGCAGCTGTGTCTACAATTTCGTAATTAGTGGCGCAAAACTGAGTAGCTGTAGTGCAATAGTTAGAGAGCTTGCTTCATACTTAGAGGTTCATTAATAGCTCTAGTCTACTTGCGTAATGGGTAAGGAAGAAGACGTGTATTTTCTATTTAAATTCTCTCCCGCGGTGCTCTGTGACAATACTTAACGGTCTTATACCAGAAATTTGCGGAAGAGCTCTAAAGTTTTAACTAAAATGTTTGGTCTTATTGAAGCACCTTAATAACACGATTTAAAAAAAACAGTTTGCGTAAACGTTTGCTTTTTTATTAGCCTCATTTGGGTTTGAAAGCCATTTAGGTCCCCTAATTTTAATAAACATTATATTTATTAAAGTAAGGTTTTGCTAAGTAACACTTTTTTAGAGTTTATTCGACTGAAATTTAAACCACTATATCTATTTGTATTATAGGTTTCCAAAAAATTATTCGGACTAATTTGAAGACCATGTTGGTACCAATGTTTGCAAAAGAAAAAAAAAGAAAGAAAGAAAAGATCGTTATATTATATCGGCAGATAATGGACTAGAGAGAAAAATTAAGTTCAAAATTTCCACTGTTAGCAAATTTTAAAGGAAGTTTTAACAAAAAGAAGATTTTTTGATTTTTAACTTAAATTAAATACTGTAAAAAAATGCTACACGAAATTAGTAGTAGGAACAAATACAAAAACGAAAGTGACGTTGATGAATAAAAAATGACAACATCAAATTTTTATGCGGAGTTCCAATTCGTTCATAAATTACCAATCTTATATAGCGATTATAAAAGTTGTACATAGAAATAAATTAATAATAATAAAAAAATTCATTGAAAAAAATGTTGTTTTTTTTGTACTCGACAGTTGTAAACCCTAATACATATTATCGGATTGTAAAAAGTTACAAATTTTCTTTAGGTGAAGAAAGTTTTTATATCATCACCTTGTAAATATGATTACATACATGTATTTACTTTGTAAATATGATTACAGTAGGTGTTTAATTAAAAACTAAATATTATATAATAAATAAAGTTTGTCTAACTTTCTAACTTAAAATTTAATCCGACTAGATTTTTGTCCGGCCGTTTTGTCCGATATTACAGATGAAAAATTACTTTTTACATAAAAAATGCACTTTGCGCTAAGCGGTGGGGTTACTAATCCGCATCCTCTTTCGCCTTTTAAAACCAAGCCTATGTAGTGACAAATCAGATTCGGGCCTAGAACAATATGTTTAAGGTCTAGACTTTTTTGAAAATCAATTCAAAGACTTGTTGAAAAGAATCGTTGTAAATATTTAACGATAACATTAAAAGTTAAAAAAGTTTAACAAACTTGTTTAATAGTCGTGAGCCGCTTTAAAAACAAAAAATTATTTTATGCTTTGCCAGCTTTATAGAAATTTAAAGTAGAAAATGGCAGAAGACGAGGAGGCGTCTGCAATAGAATCATGTTATTTGACAGAAAGCCATGAAATCAGTCACGAAATCAAAGGTATAGTTTTAAAGTAACTTTTTAAGTTTTAGCATTAACATATTTACAGACTTTTAGTATTAATGTTAAATATAAATATTATTACATATGCATGAGTTGTATCCAAAGTTTTTGCTCTTGGTACATAAGCTATATTGTTAAAAGCATTCTCTAATAATTTGAAGATATATAATTTTGGAGTTATAGATTTAAATATGTTGGAAACGTCAAAGTTTTATATGGAATAGATTTTTAGTATTTAATATTTTGTTGATTAAAATTAGTATAAGACAAAAAAACTTCATCACACATTTTGTTAGTTGTTGTTGCAATGCAAAAATTACCTGTGTAACAGATAAAAAAAAAAAGAAATATAAGTTGTTCTTTTTTATATGTTTTTTTTTTCTTTCTGTTATAACATTTTTTGCAAACATTGGTACTAACATGGTCATTATTTTTAAATGTAACTTTAAACAATAGTAACAATCATAAAAAAAATTGTTATAGATGGCAGTAAGATTTATAAAATATTTACTATTAATTCCGAGAAGTAATATAAAACAAATGGAGAATTAGTTTCACATTAGGTTAGGGTACTAGTATAAAATACTAGTTATTGTAGTCATTGTTTTTTATTTTATTTATTTGTTAGTTGTTCTTTGTTTGATTTAATGAGCCATTTAATATGCATTAAAATGGTAATTTAACTACTGACCATTGATGTTTTTTAAAAATTTATTCCTAAAGTTAGTTGTTCTTTGTTTGATTTAATGAGCCATTTAATATGCATTAAAATGGTAATTTAACTACTGACCATTGATGTTTTTTAAAAATTTATTCCTAAATTTTTTATGTTGATAAACTGTAAACCTATGCAACCTTTGAAACAGGTCAATGTTTTATGAGACCATAAAATGGACTATTAAAAATTAGAAAGTGGTTTAGACTTTTTAGCTTCTTTTAGAAAAAGGTTGATTTTAAAATTAAGTAAGTTTCTTGAAATGTATATTTTTTTAAAGTCTAAAAATAATTTTTTTTTTGGTTTTTTTGGTTAACCTTGTAAACTTAATTTGTGATTTGACAAAAATCATTAATGAAATTGACTGAGAATCATTTTATATGTAAAAGGTAATTAATAGCGTTATAAAAGAATTTGGTATTTATTTAGATCCTGTCTCTTATTACAAATTCTACATTTACAACTGTTTAAAATTAAAAATCATTTAGCAATTAATTTTTATTTGTTATTGAGTTAAATCCTAAATTCAAATTTAAAAATAAAATGTTAAATTTAAAAACAAAAAGTAAATTCGTATCAGTAAATTTTTTAAAAATATATAAAGTAAATTTTGACTATGATCAAAAGAATTTAGTTAAACAGGTATTTAAAATCAATTGAGTAGAATAAATTAATAACAAAAATTAATTTTGATAAAATAAATAATATATAATAAATTTAGAATTAATAAACTTGACTTTTAACTATTGGGAATAAGTCATTCTATATTTTAGGCCTATCCTTCGGAATTAGGGTCGGCTAACTGCTGACCTAGAAGTGTTTGAAGTTCGCAAAAAATAGGCGACCTGGTTACTATACTTTATGGCAAAACCTTTGTTTTAAATTTTTTTGCTGACCTGATGCTGACCTCTGGCGGATTAAGGTCAACAAATTATATCTCAATTTTCCTAGTTCTGAGGGCTGTAGGCCTGAAAATAGACTTTTAATTGAGTAGTAGGCATATAGAATTTAACATTGATCTAACTACAAGTGTGTGCTCTTCATGATATAATTTTCATTAAAAAGTTTTAAAAACTCTCTTTTATTGGATTTCTAAGATTCCAGCACTCATTATGATTGCTGCTTTGTGAATGTAAATTCTCAAAACTTGCTTTTTTAGTTTTCTAATTTATTATAAGTTGATTCCACTTGATATTTTATATCAAGTGGAATCAAAGAGAAACGAATCAAAAGCAAACTTATGCTAAAGATATATCTCAGCGGTAGGAATTATTTTATTGACAATCAAGAAATACAGTGTTTATGTACAGTGATCTATGACAGTGTTTACGTACAGTGACCTTAGTCTATTGAAATATAGCTTTCAATAGACTAAGGTTTTAGTAGAGCCCTTATAGTTTTTATACAATAATGGTGCTGTTGCCTGTTTGTGAGTCATCATTTATTATTTTCATGTTACATAAGCAAATAATGGCATACACATATTTCTTGTAGATAAAGTTGACAAAATTTTATATGTTTAATTACTATTGCTAAAAATAACTTATTATATATTATTGAATTTAATCCACAGTGGAAAAATCAGTTAAGCAGGAGAAGTTATAATTTCCTTCTTTACTGATTTTAAGGAGTAATTCGCATTTGGTTAGCTAACCAAACAATTGTGAATGAAAAAAAAGTGTGTACATAAAGTTAACAACATTTCTAAAGAGAGAAATAGAAGTATTGACAAAATAGTTTTTGTTAAAAGGAAAAAAGTGTCAAGTTTTTTTTATAAAGTATTATTATTTTTATTATTATTATTATTATTATTATTATTATTATTATTATTATTATTATTATTATTATTATTAAAAAGGACAGTCAAAAGCATATTAAAAAGTCAACTTTAGTCTTACATATTCATATTTAATAATATTTTCCCTAAAAAGTTTGATTTAAAAAACAAGAAAATTTTCTCCTCATACTCATTTTTAAGTTGGCCTAATTGTTGTTGCCTAGATACAAAAAAAAAGTTTCTACATGGGTTCTTGGATGTATTAGTTTTTATGGTACATGTACCTGTAGGAAAACTTAAAAAATAAATTTTTTTTGAAAAATACTAAGAATATGATTTACAAATACTAAAAAAAAACATGGTAGTATTCTTCAACATTTATTTTGACAATTATATATTGATGATTTGTTACATTAATGACTTAATTCCCTAATGATTTAGATTGTAACATATATCTTGAGAACTAAGATGTTATGGTAGTAAATGAAATGAAATTTTAATAAGTCAATTGAAGAGGTTAACTATTGGTCAAAATTAAAAACTATGTATGCTAAACATCATGTTTAAAATAATGTGAAGGTTTTATTAAATTGGAAAGTTTTTAATTGAATTTTGTAATGTTAACTTATGTTGTTTTATGTTGTTATAACACCATGCAATTTTTGTGTTTTGATGTATATTACCTTGCTATAGCAGAATAATATTTTCAGTTATTATAGTATAATAAATGCTAGTAAAAATGATAATAACAACACCACTAACCACAAAAAAGCTATTTATAAAAAATTGGTATCAAACAATTTTAGTAGTATTAGTATTAATAATTTAGCAATGTTTAACTTAGCTAAATTTTTTTGTGTTGTTATGTGTGTGTGTGTGTGTGTGTGTGTGTGTGTGTGTGTGTGTGTGTGTGTGTGTACATATATATGATATATATTAAAAAAAAAGTCTAACTTTAGTCATTCTATATGATATTAGACTTTATTACTTGAGTAATTATTAAGATTTTGTTATTGATTTGTCTTTACTGTAAAACTGTTTGTTAAGTAGATAATGGTTTTTATATTGAACTAATATAAATAAGTCCACTGTGCTAACTTTAATAATTTATGAATTGTGTTTCTGTATAACATGTTTTCTTTATAGCAACAGATAATTGATATGTATTTTTTTTTATTTATTTATGAATAAAATAGTAGTTGGTACTTAAATGATTATTTTTTTTTGTTTCTTTACTATAATAATTTTGTCCGAGATTATTTAAATAATAAAGTTTTATATTAGTTTTTTGCTGTGTTTTTTTTATTTTATATTCTAGATGATGTTATATTTTTTATACTTTTTTAGTGGAAACAGTAAATCTTATTTTCTTATACTTTTTTAAAAACACTTGTATAAAAAAGCTTACATAAATAAACCTCTATCTATGATAGAGGTTTATATATAATTATATCTAAACTTCTAGCATAACTTGTTTCAAATTTGTAATGTAAAATTTATCACACAATACAATTTAAATAAGTTTTTTTTTTCATATTTGAAACGTTCAATGTTTTTAATAAAGTTCTCATAACCTCCTGCCAGCATGCAAATTTAACTGAATCAACTGAATCAGTTACCTCTTCCTTTCTGCAGTAAACATTGGGTTGAGGATGAAAAGGTTGTGTTTACTATATTGCCTGTGTTTATAAAGAGCGTTTATAAAAAATATATATTTAAAAAACATTAACATTTTTAATAAAGCAATGTTTGTCCATGTAATGTGGTTTGATTTTTCAGTTTTTTTTCATGCAATTTTTATTTATTAAATTATTTTTTACGAAATAAAAATTTATAATTTAAAACTAATGAAAAAGCTTAAAGTTTAAAAAATATTTTCAAGATTGTAAATTTTTATTATTTAATGTCTATTATCATTAATACATTGTTATGGTTACTAAGTTTATAACAATAATTAATTTGTATTGTATTTGTCATAAATATTTTTAAATTCTTTTATGCTTATTAGTTTTCTTTAATGTTTGTTTTTAAGTTTATTAAAGGTTTTGTAGCTTTATCAGCAAATTTGAATAATTCATTAGATTCATTTCATTTTTGATACTTTGAATAGTCAAATGATTTATTTAGTTTTTCATTGAACTTTTTTAAACTTCTTTAAATTTTTATTTATTAAATTGTAATTTTACTCAGGTTTTGTATTTGTGTTTTAAATGTGTGAAATTCAAGTGTAAACACTTTTTATGTTATTTGTCTTGTTTTATGTGATTGCTTTATGATAGGTTTGTTATTTATGATGTTTTTATGATAATTTGGTTTTATGTTGTGATAAATTTTAAATGAGTGTGATAAATTTTGTCTGTTGTAACAATTCTTATGTTTTGATTTTTTTTTTTCAGAAGATAATAATATGGTTATATGTATTGAACAAGAAATAAACATTCAAAATCAATCACTAGCTGAAGATGTGCCTGCAGCTCATGCATATGAAACTGAAGATGTACTCACAGCTCATGCAAATGAAGAAGTTGTTCCTTTAAATCTTTCAAACAAAAGTTCTGTTGAAGATACATCAAAAGCTGAAGACAATAAGAATAATGACAATTTAGAAAATAACAATAAAAAGCAGAAAAGTCCTACTTTGCATAATAAAACACAGTCTCCGCATGTTTTTAAAAAAAGTCTAACTGCAGATGAGTTAAGATCAAAAAAAAGAATTAATGATTCTAAAACCAAAGAAGAAGAGCGAAGAGCTGCTGTTTTACAACGAAAAAAGAAATTAGAAGATGAAGAAAAAGCACGAAAAGAAGCTATATATAAAAGACTGTCTGCTAACACTGCTCCTGTAGATGCTTCTGCAATACGGAAAAAATATTCTTTGTCTACATCCAACTTGTTGCAGTTGCGCAAAAATAAACAGGTAGAAAATAATAATGATAAAAAACCTACTGAAAAGCAGAAAGTAATGCAACGACCTCAATCTTCTGCTTCTACTAGCAATCTTTTAAAGTCCAAGGATAAGATTAAGACTTTTGATAATAAACAGTCAACAACAGTGACTGGAAAAGACAATGTTGCCAGGTCTCCTACCACTCGATTAAATCAACGACCATCTACTGCATTAGGAATATCTACTTACGATAAAAAAACACCTCAATCAACACCGTTAAGTGAAAAGAAAGTAAAAAAGGATAAAGATGTTGAAAGACCTTCAACTGCTCCAAAAACATTAAAATCTAAATCTGATAGTACATCACCACCAAAAAAAAACGATTCAGTGGTAAGACCTAAGTCTGATAGCTGTCCTCCACAACATAGCTCTACCCCTAAGAAGGTAACATCGCCTATTTTAAACTCAAAAAATTCTGTTTCAAATAAAAGTCCTCCAGATGTATTATTAGCAGAAGGTGTATCAGACACAAAAAAAGTTACTAAAGTATCAAAAACTGGCATAAAATCTTCAGAATCGAAAGCTTCTGAATCTAAGACAAAGTCTAAAATTTCTGATAAATCTAATAAATTAGTTGTAGAAACAAATAAACCAAATTTAGAACAATCAAAAACCAAACCTAAACTAAATGTTAAAAATAATGGTAAAGTCATGAAAAATGATTCAGAAGCTAATAGTAAAGCAGCTAAGACTGAAGAAGAAGCGAAAAAGGCTCTTGCAGAGCACCGCAGGAAAGCAAAAGAAGAAGCTGAAGCTAAAGCTAAAGCAGATAAAGAAAAAGAAGAAGCAGAACGTTGTCGTCGTGAAGAAGAAGAGAGAAAACTAGCTCAACAGTTAGAACAAGAGGAAGCTCTCCAAAATGCTTTACTTGAAGAGTTACGACAAGAAGAAGAAGAAAGGCGTAAAAAAATGATAGAAGAGAAGGAAAAACGTGAGAGAGATGAAAAAATAAGATTAGAAGAAGAACAGAGACTTAGAGATGAGGAAATTGAGCGCAAAGCAAAAATTGAGTTAGAAAAGCACTTGAAGGATCAAGAATTAAAAGAACAAGAACTGGATGCAGAACGCATTGAAAGAAAAAAGGTTAACAATTTTTTAAAATTATTTTAAATACATATACTAAGTGGTCACCGGAAACTCCTGGCTAGTTTTTAATGTTACCAAAAAAAAATTTCTAAAAGTAAGTCAATGTGAGGCTTTAAAGAATTGGGTTTATGTAAATAAAAATTCAATAGTTAATAATCATTTGATAAAAAACTGTTTAAATTTTAGAACAAAATTAATAAAGATTTTTTTTTTAATGATAATGATTTTTTGGAGGATGTTTAAAATAAATATGATAAATTAGTTTTAAAATTTATTGCACATTACATACTTTGAGACTGAGTGTTTGGGTTTGATTATGTCATTGATTATGTCATTGATTATTAACCGGTATTACAATTCTCAACCCTACAACTCATTGTCATAAACATTAAAGAACAAAACATTTCTTTTTCAAAATCATTCATAACCACAAATACTGAAAAACAGAAACACAGACAAACAGGAATCACAGACCAACAGGAATAAAGTGACAATCAAACTTCATTTTGACTTCAAAAAGAAGGCCACATCACTATTCATTTAAAAAGTTAAAAGATTTGAGCTGGCTTAGTTCTAGCTGCTCTTTTTAGTTTTTGAAATTCTCACTCTATGTATATACTACCTCCAATACCACAGATAGGTTTTAAGTATGATGTGACCAATTTAAATATATATTTATTCATATATATATCTAGAGAGTGGAAATGATAATGGCCAGGGTATCTGCAAAACGTTTAGATCAGACTAATGACTCGCCTACTTCTGTACAAAATACAGTCCAAACTGAAGAAAATACCTATTCATTAGAGGTAATGCATTGTTAAATTATATATACACCAAAATAAAATTTTTATGATACTAATTTGTTATGATATTATTTTATCATGATATTATTTTATTATGATGTTTAATATTCTTTTTAAACTTTTAAGTTTTATATAAACTTTGAGACAGTGAAACTAAAATTGTACTAAAGTTATAAGTTATTGTTAGTTACAAGATAAGTAAATTTAAACTTAATTCATCTACTTTCAAATTAATTATATCTATGACAATTGTATTCTGACAAAATATTCTGATTTTTAAATTTGTATTTGAAACAGTACTCTTAGTTATGCGGGAAGTTTTTTTTTTTTTTTTAACTATTTAAACAAAAACTTATATTGGTTTTAGTCAACTTTGTCAAATTTCAACATGTAATTAAATTTACATAAAAAGATTTTGTACTTTAAACCTTGAATGCAAATTTTTCTCAATTTAAACACAGGGTTGTATATGACACTTGTATTCTGGGCTGATGAAATTTAAAAGTTCCAGTATCATTACATATAATTTGATTTTATATATATATATATATATATATATATATATATATATATATATATATATATATATATATATATTTATATATATATATATATATATATTTGTTATTCACCTCCTCAAGGCCGAGAAGGCCACTACAGACAAGGAGGCTACTTAATAGTGGTTATAACCCTCTCTCAACTCTATAACCCCGAAACACCTTGACGAACAAGGCCGCTGCGCGAAAAAACAAGTTGAGCGCGGTACTACCAGGGACATGGTAGGGATTGAACTCGGAACCTCTCGCTTATGAAGCGAGTGTTTTACCACTACACCACTACCGCATATATATATATATATATATATATATATATATATATATATATTATTTCAAATTTTAATTATTTTATTGCCAGGGATTATCTTTTTCTGGATATTTCCGGAATTCCGGATATTTGATATTGCATTTGTTTTAAGCTTTTTCACTAATCGCTCATACAAAAATTAAGAAAAAAAAATAGAAACAACTTAACTAAAAGCAAAATTATGTGGAAAATAGAGGAAAATATATTCTGTTTTTTTTCTGGAATTTTATAATATGATCTGGATGATCTATGTGTTTCATTCAACTAATTTGTCATAATCAATTTTATGCTACTCTTTTAATTCATCCCATAAAAGCCAGATAAGATAAAGGTAGGTTATTAGGGAGGTCAAGTCATTCTATTTAATATTTGATTATCAAAGTCAAACAACTTAGTCAGTCAAAACTAATCACTCAGTCAAACAACTAATACAATTTTTAAAGAAAATGTTTCGGATTAAATCTTAATAATTATGGACGGTAGTGTGTATTTTAGGGAGGAGTGAAAACAACTTTTTTTTTAGAAATTCTCTTATTCTCCCTGATATCTATATTTATAAAAAAATCTAAAATAATGAGACTAATGGAACAAAACTAGACAAGAATTACCACCTGCAGCAATTTTTGGTCAAGTAAGGCAAATTTTCAAAATTTTCCATACTTGTCATTTTTTTATTTTAAGTAATGATTTGTAGTATTTTTCCGTTTGAATGCTTTTTTTCTAGTCTATTAACATGTTATTTTAAAGAAGTTTTAGAATTGAAAAGGTGTATTTACTACATAATATTAACATACATAGAGCCAAAATTGTACTAAATAATGTTATAATCTGCCTTGGTGGTAAATATTAGCATATTCTGTCTAGTTTGCAGATGAACACCTATCATACTATATCTTTTAATATCATTTTTATATCAAGTTGAATGTAATCCTCTTTCGCTTCTTCCAGCAGCTCATCAGTAAGCTATATTGTTCGTGGTAGCTCTGTCACTTGTGAATTACTTTAAGTCCCATGTAATCTATGCCATAAAATTAAGTAGGAGCTTTGAATTGCCACACACTTCTTTTATTATTTTCTTCTCTAGCTAATTTTTTTTTTCAACATCTTCACTTCCAAGAAGGCTGCAAGTAACCACTATTAAAGTTGGAAGTTACTGGAAGAGAAAAAATATATTTATAGAAAAAGATAATGATTGACAGACGACTTGAAAGATTGCAAATTATATGAATAAGGAAAACAAGATGAAGGAAGCAAATTCTAAAGAACTGATGTTCGAGGGAAAAAACTAGATAAATAAAAATTTTTGGAGCATTTAGGAACAGTGACAGTAAAAGGACAGATTAGAGAATTATAGAAATAAAGAATAGAATCTGGTGTAAAAAAATGGCAACCTTAACAGATACTAATTTTACGATGGATTTGATATATGGTTTCCAAAAAAGAAAGGAAGTAAGAGTTAATCTTAGAAGACGAAGGGTAAATGATTTACTGAGTACATTACTGTTCATAAATATAGAACGATCTAGATTATTTCAATAACGATTAACTGAAAAAGTTGAGTTTTATCTGAGTTAAAGTTTACCAGTCACTGAGAGCCCCATGCTGTAGCAAAAGTGAGTAACTTATTTGCCCTTGTTACTTTTAAAGATTCTCCAGAAGTAAAGGGTATAACTTGTATAGTAAAACTAGTCATTGGAGTGACACCTTATTAAAATCAACAAATAAAGTGAAAAACAAACAAACAACAAAATGTAATAATATAGATAGTGACGAAAATAATAATAATAGTAATTATTATTATTTTGATCACTATCTATATTTTTTTTGATCACTATCTATATTATCTATAATAAAAAATGTTATTATTATTATTATTATTTTGATGACTATCTGTAAAAATTATTATTATTATTATTATTATTTTGATGATTATACGAGTGACACTGTAATTTTTTCAATTTTATGGTTAAATAAATGGATTTAAAAATAAAAAAGTCACAGAAAGAGTTCCAGTCAGATTTAAGGTGTTTGTAAGAGGTATAATAATAGGAGAATTCTGATGAAGAAGAAGAATGAGATAACAGTTTTAGAGAAATCAAACCATGATCAGAAGCACCTAAGAGTAAATGTGGAGAAACTGAGCACTGACTAGTATCAGAAATAAGAAATAAGTCAAGTAGAGTAGGTAACTGATTCAGATTGTCTGGAAAGCGAGTTGAAAAGTTGACTATTTGAGTTGAAGATTAAGAAAGGGAAAAGTCGTGAGCTTTAACGCCTGCAGAGTCATTAGAACCAAGCCATTCAGTGTGGTTATTAGTGCCATTCAGTGTGATCATTAGAAGCCATTCAGTTTGAGCATTAAATCACCAACAACAATGGTATTGGCTGAATGATAAAGAGAAAAGAAATAACATTGAAAAGAGTGCAGTCTTGAGATGAAGGAGAACAATATAGAACAAAGAGAAAGGTGATAGAGTGAAGTGGTTCCAAAGCACATTAAAGAATAGTCTGGATTCAAACTTAGTTTCCTGACAAATGGGTGAGTTCTTACAAATGTAAATGCCCAGGCAAAGCGTCACATGCTTTGCTATCAAATTCTTACAAATGTAAATGCCCAGGCAAAGCGTCACATGCATTGCTTTACAAATGTAAATGCCCAGGCAAAGCGTCACATGCTATTGGAGTCTTTACGAATTAAAGGAAGATAATCATCAACACTAAGATCACAAGATAAAACAGCTGAACTCAAATTGGTTGCACAAAGAGCAAGTAGGTCTGGTGAACTTTGCAAGTGATAAGGCTCAACAGAAGAAAATTTATTTGGAAGACCACGAATATTAGCGAATGATAGATTTAGAGAGCTTGGTGTACTTTTGGTACTTTAGTCATTTTTAAATTTGTTAAAGAACTTGACTCAAAGCACAGATAGTACTCAGTACACTGTTTAATAGTCTAAGCAATTTCCTCATTACTATTAAAAAACCCTAAGCCGCAACAAAGGAGTCTAAATAATGCCTCAACAATTGACACCAAAAGTAAGAACAGGGACACCATCCATGTGCAACATGACACTGTTAATATTTTGATATTTTACAGCTGTTGATGGAATCAGCCTCTCTAAGAGCTACCACAGAGTTCAGGAAACCTGACCACCAGACAGCCTCAGAACCATAAAACTGAGTTTTAGAGCTGTACCCTCATTAGGAGATAATAGGATGAGTTGCCTAGTCATAAAAACAGAGACACAAGCAAAACCCATGCATCGGGTTAAGAAGACCCAGCATTCAACATCCTAAACTGGAAACAATGTACTAAAAATACATCTGCACTAGCCTAATAGATGAAGAAGGGGTGAGAGGCTGGTCAACAGATAGAATCTGTTTACCCCTTAAAATTAATTAATAAAATAGCCATTTGAGAATTAGATGTTATAACTAATAACACCTGATTATCGAATTTGTGGCTGCTCATCTGATATCATCACCAGAACAATATATTCGAACAATATATAATTTATGCTGCTATAGTTTCCAAATTTGATGAGAGATCGTGATAGAAATATGTAATCTGAAGACCCTGTTGGCAGTGGTGAGACATCTAGATTGAGGCATTTTTCCAGGGTTAGATTGGCAGAACAAGTGCCACTTAGTACAGATATCAAAAAGGCAAAGCTGATCTTTAATGAGCAATTTTCTGTCCACCCTCTGGAATTTCTACATTATTGTTTATAGATTGATAATCAACAACCTTTAAAATCTCATTGGTTTCAAAAGACTTTCTAATAGAGCCTGAATAGTATCTAGAAGCAGATTTTGGTCCATTTAACTCCACAAAGTGGAAGCTCAATTGCATGTAGCAGGCTTTGTTTTAAATACAAAATGCTTAATGCATTAACTTAATTTGAATTTTAATTTCATTAAATTCTTTTTATTATTTTGTTTTTTAAAGACATTAACTTTTTTAAATTACTGCAATTATATTTATTACTGCAAAACAAGTAAAATGTTATTTAACAGCTTTTTCATTATTACTATAAAGGAATGTTTATTTTGTTTTATTATTTTCTTCAATATTAAATAATTAAATTTATTATTGCATTTTTAAAAATGTTTGATATTAACAAATTTCTTTTCTCAACA